GAATAGACTATTCAACCACTGGTGAGGGAAAGGAAATCACTGTATTTGTCTTTCAATAAGTAGGAGGAGAAAAGTATCTTATCTCTTCTAAAGGATTCATTTCTTTTTTTTTTCACACATCGAAGACTATATTATAAAACAAACATGGATTTGGTCCATTTTACGTCTCTTATATAAAAGTAATATAGGAGAGCATAGCAGCCTAATGAACAATACTTAAAGATACATAATTTGCACATATTTTTCTTTTGCTCTAACAGAATTTCTGAGATGAGTGAAGAAATGAGTAAATAATATCACAAACTTTGAGAGAAAACTAAATTAGGCTTCAGCTTGATTGCCCTGAGATGTTTTCGTTGCCATTTTATCCATCCTCTGCTTAGCTTTTGCTTAAGATGTTGGTGAGATGATGAAAGCTGAAAAGTAAATAGGTGCTTCAATAAATGCAAATAAATGAGTGCTTTCCTAGCAAAGAATTACAAAAAATCAGCCTTTCCTCTGAAGCTAATCCCCCGACAGCTAAGACTGTGAATTTCCCTCCTCAACATGCACACAGATGGGTTGCCACTGAGGATGACAGATGAGTTGTGTTTGGCGGGATTAATGAGCATTATCATGTTAATAGATGCTTAGGTGAGGTCTGAGCAAGTCACAGGCCTGGGCAGAATTACCACGTTTATAGAACTCTGTGTGAGCAAGCTCCTCTTCTCTTCTCTTATTCTTCTTACTAATAATTAACTTGTAACGTTAAACATTTTTAGTCCACCAAGTGATCCACAGAGTACTGCCTTCCAAAGTGCTGGGAGCATTTATGGATCCAGCATCATGCTTTCTGTCCTTTGACATGCAAAATGCAGGCAGTCCTGCCTGAGTTACTCTTCCATTGCTTTTGTGCATTCAGCTCCCTCATAATCCAGAGTCTACTTTGTTGCAATCGCTTTAGAAATCTGACATATTGATCAAGAGTTTAGCCTTAGTAACTACTGCACATATATCAACTGTTGTTGAGTGTGTCAGGTCACATTTGATGGCAAGATGATCTTGTACCCAACTAGAAGAGCTATTGCAACAATCCTGAGTTGATTCTGTTACCCTCATCTGGCCAGAAAGATTCTGTTGCATCATAACTGCTGCAAAAGAATTTTATGGTAACTGTTAAGAAGTTGTGTAAATGAGGGAAAATAAGTCTTGTTAGTACTCTATAATGGTTCTCATTTTTAAATGCAGGCAAAAATCAGTATTAATGTCCAACTCATATCAACTTAAAATTGTCTAAAAAATTACAGGACATTTCCCTGCTTAGGTTAATTCGACAAACTTTTCTATGCATAAGTATATCAATATTACCATAATAATCTAAGAAAACTTTACAGAGATCTCTGCTATAACCGATTCTATTACAGAAAACAATTTCAGTAGTGCAAAGATGTTACTCATACAATATAATGAGTTATATTTTATTTGTTTAAAATCAGTCATGAATTTGCTTGAAATTCAATTTAAATTTTTTTGTAATAAAAGACTTTCCAGAATACTCTTTAAACATTAAGTATGTGATTGAGGACAAATAGTTCCACAAGTTCTTAACTTTGTGATTAATTTAATCACTCGCCATTAAGATGACACCTATAGATTGACTACATGTCCTTGTTGCTAGAGAGAATCTACATTTACTTTATCAGTATTTAGAGGGTGGTTGACAACAGTGCTTTCCCTAAATTCCCAAAGGTTCTTATTTGTATGGTAAACCTATAAACCAAGTAAGAGATTTCTAAATTAGGCTATCTTAAATTCCAAGTATGCCAGGGAGGGTAGAAGATTATTTGGAGGTAAGTTCCCATTAGCTCTGCAGAGCAGCACACTGAGAAATAAAATTTTCTGTTGAGAAGAAATTGAAGCTAGTCCACAAATATTTATTCAATAACTCTTTTGTGTTTTTTTCCAGCCAACTTTTATAACTTTCATTCCAAAAATAACAATGTTACGTACATATGCATGATTTCTTTTTTTGGTCCTCAATTTTTTTTTAAACAAGAGCTATTCTAAGTAAAATAAAAATATGAAATTAATTCAGTACAAAATTCTTAATTATTTACATTATTAGAATTTTAATTTGACAATATGCATTAGTCACATTAACTAATTAGTTTATTCTCATCAACCTTGTGTGTTAGGTACTAACATGACCATTTTATAGATGCGGAAACAGATTCCTGGGAGGTCTAGTAGGTTAGAAGTAAACATGGCTACCTCCAGGAAGAAATAGAATACCTGGTTGAAGATACGATGCTCAGAGTTTGATCTCTAACACGCATGAGCCATGACAGAGCAAGAGTGTGATCTCTGATGCTCCACGACTGAGAGTGCACAATCTCTGTTTATTACTACAACAGCATAAGGAAGGAAAAGGGAGAGTAAAAGCATTTTTAATGTCCATATCAAAAGGGGAAACCTAGATAGGAAAGGTAAAGGTATTATTACTGTTTCTCAAGACTCAAGCATAATGATATACAATGTTATGGAAGCACAATTCAATTTAGACTTTCTTGAAGTCTAAAAATGGTGCTTATATTTATGTGATTCTACCAATAAAATTAGTATCAAAGTATATTCACCTTGATAGAAAATGACCAAACATTTCCATATATATTTTTATATAATATAATATATAATATATATGTAATACCGTACACAGGTACACACACACACACATACACAGACACACACATACACACACATATATATATAGTGGAATTTAATGGTGAAACAATTTTTATAAATAATGACTAATCAGTATATTTTACAAAAAACTTCTGCAATTCAGATGGAAGAAAACCAGACTGAAAATAATATTACTTTTTAAAAATAAAAAATTAGATCAACATGTAGATAATTAATGCAATGCAATGGATAACACATAGGCACCATGTTTTTGAGGACTAACATTAGATTATACATTAAAGGTGATTCTTAGGAATTACTCCATAGCTTGAAGTTATTCTATAAAATGTATAAACTACTAAAAAATATTAATAGAATAAAAAACATAGCTATAAACTAATTAAATTATAAATGAGGGTCATTAAATTTTTACCATAATGTCCCTATTGAATAACTTGATGCTAATCATGATTTCTGTCCAACTTTTTCAGTAGTTTATGAGAATAAGATATTATAGGTAAAGGAATGTATTAAATCAGGATCATCTTTGACCTTTCACATAGGGTCCTCATCTTTTCATTCAGTTTTACCAAAATTACATGAAAGAGAATTTCCCAGTATGTTTTCCCCACTGTCTCTCAAATAATAAGTATTGTCAAAACGATTTAATATGAAATTTTATATGCTTGATTTTAATGCATGCTGATTCTTATTTTACATCTCAAAATACACACATAATTTTATGACTAAGAGAAATGATTTGTGATCATAGCTGGATATGACCACAAATTAGATATATATTGAAAAGTAAAACATTATAATTTCTCATTTTAATTCATATTTATACTCAAAAATGTTTTTAAACTTCAGATCAGATTCAGAAAACTTCAGATTTGTGTGAAGTTTTCTAAAAGGAAGTATACATGCAATGTTAAAAAAAAAGACTTTTATTTTCCAAAACTTAATATAAAAGTAAATGAAATTTAATAAGTTACAAAATATTCCGTATTGAGCTAGCTCTTTACCCTCCCACTCCACACACACCTACAGTCTCACAGGACACACACACACACACACACACACACACACACACACACACTCATGCAAAGAGGAGGAAATCTGCAACTGAAAACAAGCAAAAACCTGAGCACCAGAAATATGGCACAAAGGGCTCTGCACGAGGCCTTGAGTTGATTCTGACACAGGGTGCACTGTCTCGCAGGATATAACCTAATAGCTCCCAGCATGACTGAGGGCCTGAGCACTAAACTGTCAGGGCTGCGCTACCAGATGGCCCTGTGGAAAAAAAGAGCAGGACCTGCTTTTGTAAATCAATGTTATCACTATTGCTCTCAGAGTTCTCAATTCTAGCATGTTCTTACTATTGGTCTTTCTCAGATGGGATGAAGCAGAAGGGAGCCACAATCAGGATACTCTAAGAGTCCTGTTATCTGGCACTCTTATTTTTATTGCGGGCGAGGGAGTATAGGGCAATGTTGGTGGAAGGCACATCTGACTATGCTCAGGACATCCTCCTGGCTCTGCACTTAGGAATCACTCTTGAGGAGCTCAGAGGACCATAAGGGATGCTAAGGTCAACTCTTGTCGGCCACAAGCAAAGCCAGTGCCCTATCCTCTCACTGTACTCCAGCTCTGTCCTCTCTCTGACACTCTTTAGGCAGATAGTACGCCTTGTGCCCTGAGAGATCCTCCAAATTAGGTGAGTAAAGTGTTTGGGAATTAATCTTAAACAGGCAGCCTCCTCAGTCTAAAACATATAGTCTGCCATTATCAAATCACCAATGCCATTGATTCAAAAATTAGAAGACCAAAAAAAAGTTACTCTGAAAAGGAAAAATGTGTGAAATAAAACATATTTGAAAAGCTGTGTCCTTTGTCTAATTCTGGAGTCAAAGCATTCTCTGAAAAGAAACTCCTCCCTCAGACACTGTCCTTTCCAAATTATGAAAGTTACCTTTGGGATGAAGTTGTCCCCCCAGCCTATTTGCCTGGTGTGCCATCCACCAGAAATATTTGCCTAATAATTTTGCTGGTAGTGCAGGGGTTAACTCACTTCCTTTTAGTCCTTCTCAGAGTTTTTTTCCTTTGGAGTGGTAGGTTTATTCCTGTGATCTGGAGAATATCTGCCTCTGCTCTGGAGAGACAGAAGCTGTGACACTGGGCTGTGATCCACGAGGGCTCTGGGAGGTGCCTGGGAGGGAATCTACATTAGGCAGCACCCTTGGAGAGCAGATTTGTAACTTTGAGGAAAGTTCTTTCTGCCAAATCATTTCAAATGTGTTGTTTAGTTAAGTTCTCTTCCGTTTCTTTCTTTTCAGATGGATGTAATGGTGTCATTTTATCTCCACCCAGGAACTTGTGTCAACAGCTCCCTCCACGGACCATTCACTAGAGTTGCAATGTCACAGTGTCAGAATCTTGTGCATGAAATTTTGTGGCTGTTATTTTTGTCAAACTCCAGAGTTGAATGTTTTTCACTTCTGTGAACCTCCCTTTTCCTCTCTATCTGTCCTTAACTGAACTCTACTGGTTTCCCCGAAACTCCTAATTTCTGGCCACACTGACCCAGGCAGGCCAGACCAGCCATTTCCTTTCCACCTTCCTCTTGCTGCTGGAGCTACCTTTGCTACTACTTTGAAAATTGGTTTTAAAATGTTTCTCAGTTTCTCTGTCCCTGGCAAGAGAACTATTGCACTTAATTTTCCTCTAAAATTTGAGTTTGATATTAAACATCATGCTTGTGTGTACCTTACATTTTTGTGTTTGTTTTTAAAACATGTGGGTCCAGAGCGGAGCATTTTCTGTTAAAAAAGAAAAAACCTGTTGCTCCTATAGGCATAAACAGGTTAAGCCTGACCATGATTGTAAGATTATCCAATGACAACGTATGGACAGGCCTCTTACACTGAGCCTTTACCAGAAGGGTTTCAAGATTGTTTTCATTTGTTGCCTGTTGAGAAAAGCCGCAGGGAAATGTCAAAGTAGTACTCAATGACATGTTTTACTACTTTTAAGCAAAGGGTAATTTTTAATTTTTTTATTGTTGACACAATTGCCTGTATGTGTTTTTCTTTATTCTGTCTTTATATCATGTTGTTTTATTTCTTCCTCCTGTACAGTGGCCCTTTGATTGCCACATCTTTTCTTGCTTTTGTGATGTGGATGGAATGGATTGCTTATCTGTTAGGTTTCTCTCATCAGATTTTCCTTAAGCCTTGGGATCTTCCCTCATTTCCTTTGTCCCAATACATGAATCAGAATAGGACTGTCTCTGTGGGAGGGGAGGGGGAAGAGAGGAGTCTGAGTACAAGAAAAACCTGCTTTCAAAAAAGATGCTGCTTGATGAGGGGTCAGCACTAAGGGGAAGTATTGAAAGTTTAGCAGACTCAAGAATCTTCCCCCCTCTTCCCACAAGCTCCAACTCCTAACATGAGGGGGATTCAATATTGACTCTCATATTATCCACTGGAGAATTTTACTACAAAATTATACCTGTGTTATTTATAGTAAGTTTATGTGTTGCCACCGTGACATATTTTATTCTGATTTTTTCATTCATTGTCTCAGAAATTCATTTGAAACAGAATCATCATAATTGAAAATGAACAAAGTTTTAAGGGGAAATTGTAATTTTTATACAAAATACATTCTCCCAAGATAGTTTGTTATGAACTTGGAATGTCCAGTGACAAATCAGGTCGGGTAACACTAAGATACAAATTTAATAGCGTTTATGGTTATCATGTTTACTGCTTTAGTGTTGTCTTTTATGGCATTTATAATGTACAAATAATACGGAAGCAAGGTTTATCAAGTGATGACCAATGGCATATTGCATATTGTTTAGAGAGAGTCCCTTGTCTTATTGGGAATATAGAGTTTAACAAGACACTTGCCATCATTTTCTTAACAGGGATAATAAACAGAACAATTCTGCATAAAAGCTCATATCAGCTTCTTTCATGCCTTTTCTTTTCAGGAGACTGCCTAAGGGTTTAAGCAATTTACTGGTCTGACCCGCATCCTTTCTCTGCAGTCTGCGGTTCTTTTGTTTAACATTAGTATGTGGGCAAACAGCATTCTGAGCTGTGCAGAGCTTATCAGCCCGCGTTCAGTCAACCGGAACCCCATTCTATGTATCTTAGCGGGGCCACATTTAATACTTCACAGTGGGAGCATCTGCAGTTTCCAAAAATGACTTGTTTATCAGATAAACTCTGTCCTTATGCTGACAGATGTGGTGGATGGTGGATCTTCAGTCTCATATTTCTCTAATATAAGGCTGTACAAAATATGGTATGTGAGAGACAGGGAGACCCACAGAACAGAGCCATGACAAGAATTAGAATTGTTTATGTAGCTTTTAGCTAACTGTACTCAGAATTCACTTGCTAGAGGAGGGAAAATGAAGGCAACTCTCAGCTTCTGTTTCGAAAATGAGTAAGTGACAAAGTCCCATGTTACCTAAAGTGTTAAGTAGAGGAAAGACATTTTCCCTGCTAACATAACATTGTATGATTTCATTGGTAAACACTGTAGGTTAGTGGCATGGTCTGATAAAAGCCAGGCACCTGAGGGGGTGGCCAAGATATTGATCACTATATGCCTGATGATGGCAGAGTGTAGGGAAATTAGAAATAGGCTTGGGAGACTTTTCTGTCATTAATCCAAGACAATACAAATGTAGTCTGTTAATTTAAGATGATATTTTCTTTTTAAATTGTATTTGAGTTTTGTAAATTATTTTAAACATATTGAGGAACTATAAAACGCTCCTTATAAAGTATACTTCTTGAACTTTCAGGTTTCACACTGTAGGCATAAATATTATGCAGTTATTTTGAAATCATTTCCAATCTGTGGTTTATCTACATACAGGTATATATATGGACATATGCAAATAATTATTTTAACCAAAGCTATTATATGTGGTTTAATAATTAGAGCATTTCCTAATATTATATTCCCTTCAAAGGGGTGAATTGAATATGTTTTCATTATGCACTTTGAGGATTTTTTTTCCCTAGAGATATCCATATCTTATAAATCTTATGGTAGCATGCAAAATGATGCTAAGTAACACAAGAACAGACATACTAGTGCCTTCTCACCAGTATGTTACTATCCTAGAATAAGCACTGATTTCAAATGATGAGGTTTGATCCTTTATGCAGTTCACATTGCTTGTGGTACTCTTATAATTTAGCACATATGTTACGGTTTTGCTCCTACCTATAATTACTCTTCATATTAAGGCATTTTCCCTCTAATTATTTCACTAGTAGTAGGCCCCTTCACCTCTCAGCTCTCTGCTAATTAAATACCTTTAAACAAGTCTTTGTTATTAATTTTGAAGTGTTGCCATGACCATCTGATAAAATAATTATTTGAGAAAGCAATTTTAAATGAATAACTTAAACTTCAATGTTTTCATATAGGGATAAAGGCAATACAATAAAGCAAAGAATACCAGAGATGCATCTTTGAAGCCTATATAGCTGGATCATTGTCAAAGTACAATGTTATGTCTAACAAAAAAAGAGATTGTATAGCATACAAATCAGTAATTATAGAAAACATGATGGTGTATTTCTGCATATCCTACATTTTCCCACATAGAGTTTAATGCCCTTTTATGTGTGGTTAAAAACAACCTTGCACTGTCTTTTTCGCAGGAAAGCCTATCAAAATGCAGCCATTAAGAAATATATTCAATATCAGACTAGAAGACATTTGTGTGCCTTCCCCTACTCTCACTAATGTGTGCTAGCCAACTGTTCATGCAGAAATTGTAACTGTTAATGAGGGTTAAAAGGAAATTTTAAATAAGGTGTCATCTTTTGAATAAGGTACCTCAACTGTTATAGACACTCTAATATTTATTTTCTATCTTGCCTCTTGCACTTAACACAGCCCACCACAAAAAAAATAATTATTACAATATTTTTCAAACAAAACACACACACCCCCTTCCCTGGCCCTGCATATTTCCTGGGCCTAGCATTCCTGATTGTGCACTGTTTTTCCTAACACTAAATCCCGTGTGTCATATGCCTTGCATGGCTGCAGACTTTGGCCTTTTCACCTGCTGTTTTGGTTGGCTTTAGATGCAAAGAGAAGAATATGAAAAAGAGAAAGGGGAGGGAGGGAAGTTTGGAAGACTGAAGCTTAAAAAAAATGGCAAATGTTTTTAGCGCCTTCATCTAGACATGTGTCCCCTCACTCTGTGACATGGCTGCTCCAATGTTGCCATGGTGAGGATTTCTAATCATCCCTACACATGACAGGCTCCTATTTGTCTGCACTCCCTTGGGTGTAAATTTCTAGGCTTAAAAAAAAATCCATGTGAGCGTATCATCCGCCGTGCAGATGTTTCACTGCTTTAGAATATCAGGCAGCTGCTTGTGCCACCGTAGACAGCTAATTGGAGACTGCATCGTAGGAACAGAGGCGTAATTATGGCATAAATACACATCCTCTGGTGCATCATTGTATCTCTATTAACAGAAAATTTTAAACAGTGCTCAGAGTGTAATTAGTGTAGTTGATAAAGTTGTAAAACATGTAAATAAGGGAAATAGCAGGTACGTGGCCAATCCACTATCCAGCACTAGGGGATGCAGATTATTGCCTATTTAGAAATAATTAGCAAAGCTGCATTAGCAGAGCCTGTGTCCAACAGAAGCAAGGCAAACATTTATTCTGGTAACAGCTCTTTCTGTGCTAGCCATGAAAATCTACTAATATTGGTAATTTAGCCCTCATTACCAGAGGATAAAGCATGAAAAGAGCTCAGACATGAAATATGACAAGTAATATTAATTTTTATTCCAGAGGAAAGGATGCTTCCTTGGGTTGCATGCTGATTTCTCGGCAGGGTCTCAGCAGTGCGTGCGGAGGAGGCAGTGGGTAGCTGGTAGTTGAGAATTCAGGATATGGAGCTGACTCCCTGCTGGAGGTATACCCTGGGGTGGCTATGACAGTGGCTGATGAGGCATGCCACCGTTAGTGCCCAGCCAAACCTCAGGTCACAGTTCAAAACAAGCACTCAGCCATTAAACTTCAGTCCTTATGGGCCTGTGAAGGCTGATGTCCTCATTCCTGCTCTTTTTCACCCTCCCAGGCCCTTTTCTCCTTCCCCTGCGACGTTTTTTTTCTTTCTTTTTTCTCTTTTTTTTCTCCCTTGCAATGATTTTGCAGAGCTATACAGGCAATCAGATTGATTTTTTTTCTTTTCTTTTTTTTTTCCTTTTTTTTTTTTTTAGCTTGCACCGCCCTTTGCAACGTGCTCCTGATAATGAGCTACTGTTGTTGAAGTGGAGAGTGTGGGAGGGGTAGTTTCAGCTGCGCCTTAACTATGTCGTGTGCCCTGGATGAGAAATGATCCTTTGGCTCATACACATTGACGATTGTGTCACTG